TATGCTAATTTTCTATTGGTGCAGTTGATTTCTGTAGCGATCTGCATAACAATTCTCAAAATTATGCCACAAAAAGCAAGAACTGTGCTGTTCGATTTTTTTTTCTTAATTCCCATGACTTTTGTCTTTTTTAACAAAAAAATGGTACCATGGTGGTGGCACACATGCTCTTAAAGCCCTTAAACTTCTAAGACCCAAACTGTTAGGGCAATCAAGTATAGTGATAGTAAATTAGCATACACTACTTGTTTTTTTTTTAAAGTATATATTGCCACAGTCATTCTACTCCCATATCCTTTAAGATGATAGGGACTATCATGAGTAAAAAGATCAAAAGTAAATCTATTCATCTCCAAATCAGATAATACAAATACTTGAATTTGTAGTCCGTATTTTACGAAAGAAAAGCAAAAGCGTGGCCATTTCCAGGAGGTTACAACTGTCAACATTACATTTAATCTGACAAGTACAACAAAAACACTTCAGCAAGATACATACCCTGCTGGGTTTGTGCCTGGTTTTGGAATAATTTGTTAACACTTTGGACAAAACTTCATTAAAAAAAATTGTTTCCATAAAACTGTTTTCTTCAAAAGTCCATCCTTTAACATAGGATGCGGAAAGACTTGTCACAATAACAAGTCCTTGCTATTGAGTAGTACCCCGCCACCTAGACTCAAAAAATTAAAAGACAGATACAAGGAATACTGAGAAACCAAGAAAGTATGATTTAATGCCAGATCCCAACAAAAGGTAGAAGAGATTTCTGATTAACGTTGGAGTTTCAAAAATCAGTACGGAAGAAAAGGAAACCAAATTGGAATTGCTTATACATAAAGGTACATTAGCAATTTGAGACATTGAGACACACTTGCACAAAAAAAGACTCTCGGGTACTGCTTTGTCCTATGGGACTACTCTGTTAACTGAACTCACTGTGCAACCCTTTTGTTCCAGGATCTCCAAATCCAATATACTAGTTACGTCTTCCCATAAAAACATTTCAGTTTTATTACAGAATTCTGGAGATGCAGCTTTGGGAGAAGCTTTGCAATAGAGTTACAGTGAGATTGTTTTATTCATTTCACCTATATTAATACTCTGTAGTCATGCCTGTACTTTATGCTCATACTATTTCCCCAAATTACTACAAGTTTTTTCTATTGAAATTTGGATAACCAGGGAAAAATGTCTGAACGCAGATGTTCAGATTTCTCTGAAATATAAACACGTTCTGGTTGTGTCAAATTAGACATTGAAATATTTAAAGGAAAAAGTAAATTTAAAGTTCCTATGAAAGCAGAAAGCAATTCATCCTGCCTTTCAACCACCTTATTAAAATGCAGAATAGAATGACATTTGTTGTCTGAAGAAGCCAATACAGGAAGAAGAATCTTTTCCGCACTGATAGCTTTTTGCTTATTAGGCTTTTTTTTTTCCACAGTCAATAGGAAACATACGTTTTTATTAGATATCTCTCTGACTTGTAAGTAACAGCAGGACTTCTCCTTCAGTTGCTACTGTGCAGAGATCAAACTTGAGGTTTAATTATGCCGTATTTTTCTTCAGAAAGAAGAGCAGACCAGTGAGACCCATGAGCAGTAGCAGCTTCACAAGAGGATAAGTTTCCAATGGGAGACGGCTACTTTATCATCTGTATTTTGTCATGCATTTTAGTTTATTATTTTTGAAAAGTTATTTGGTTCTTGAATTATTTGGTTCTACAGCTACCAGCTGCACAAGGTTTAACCATACAACAGAAAAAAAAAAAAAAAAAAGGTTTGTTAAAATCTCTTAGTAAAGGAAACAAAAATGTTCATATGTTTTGTGAGAAAGATATTTCTTTCTAAGTAATGCCAGGCTGAAAGTGAAGTGAGCACCTTTCCATAACATTGTTCTTGTAGAATGATTGTACATTAATATTTTCTCCCTGGCTTCCATTTTCCCCACTACTCTATGCATTCCATTCATTCTACATCTACTCTGGCTGTGTACTCCCATGGTATTATATTCATCCTTCCACTATCTTTTTCTTTTCATTTGTTGTTCTCCAAGGTATGAGCGTCTCAGTAATAAACTTGATTGCTACAGTACTATCTGCACTGTGATCCTGGAAAACATATTTGAGATAACTAGTGAATTTTAACCAAATTGCATAAAGCCCCCAAACAAGAAGAATTATCTGTGAAACTGTATCAATATAATAAAACCTCAAAAACATTTTCCTGCGGTTTTAATACCTGAAAGTCTTGCACACTGAGTGAACTTCCACTATCTGTTTTCTTTGGCACAAACTAACATTAAGCTACCACTTCTAGCTCTTTGATAACTCTTCCTAGTCTGATATCCTTAACTAGAAAATGAGCTACAAATTGCATTTTTATTTTTTGTTTGATCTTAACATTCTCAAGTTGTGCTGGTTTTCTTTTAAATATCTTATTTGAAGACAGCTAATTCAAATCAAGGACTGTCTACTTTTAGAAGCACAGATTTTGTTGTAGCTTACAGTAGACAAGGCATTGTCAACATAACAAAAACTGAGCCATTCTAGGGGTTCAAAATATCTTGTTTTCTACCTGTGTAAGACTATGGGCTTCTTTGAAATTTGCAAAAGCCTGAGAGAAAGTGGCACCCAGCTGGTAGCCAAGTATCATAGGCCTATCAGGAAAGCTTTCTGTCATTGAGCTCTGTGGTGAAGAACATTTCTAAACTTGAATTCTGAGGAGTTTATACCAGATGGGCATCAAGATCTAAGGCAAAGAGTGTGGAAACTGGGGCTGAGTTACTCCATATCTTAATTCTCTTTCCATTTTCCAAATTTCCATTTCTTAATTCTCTTAATTTTCTCTTTCATGAAATGATTTGCTCATGCAGATCAAGCATGTTGGTAGAATGGCTTACATTTCTCACTCAACTGATTTCAAGACCTCCAAGTTTCACTTGATGTATAACCCTTTGCCATTCTGAATACAGTGCCCGAAAATTTAGCAAGCATGATCCCACTAAGTAATCTAACCTTGAATTATTTGTAGCAATGGCTACAAATAAACTCTTAAAAGTTTGGAGTGACTTACACATAGAAGCAAATTCGCTTTATCAGTTCTTACCAACTGTTAATAATTTTAAAGTCACCATATCAGCCTCACACATATTGCCCCCCTTTATCATATAAATAGGGGACAAATTCCTTCCTGTCAAATTTAATCAAAGAATCTAAAAGAAAGCAAAGAACCTTATCACTTACAGAGAGACAAAAAGGAAGAAAAAACCCCAACACTTTCTTATGCATGCAAGGAATATTTGGGATATTTCAGTGCTCTATGTCAGTGTTTAAACTGTTTTCAGGCAGATCATTTAGATATATGGTGAAATTTGTTGAAGAATAAATTTGAATAACAAGCCAATAAGAATGGATACAGTACGATTAGCAATTTATACCAAAACACATCATTTTCTGATATGAAATCAAACAAGAGAAATAAAAACACTATAATCATGATTGCTAAAGAGACATGAAACTATATATAAAAACCTCAAGATTACTAAAAGAGAAGGTACAGAGAGATGATATTTCAGCAAGATATTACATAGTGATTGCCAATAGATCTCTCCAAAGTTTCCAGAAGACAAGGAGGGAGAAGAATATTTAATTTTAATGTCTCCAAAGCTTGACTTTTCCTGTAACATTTATAAAATATTGAAAGAGGAGGAAAAAAAATGTGATATGGTGGTGAGGTCTGTGGCTGGTTTTAGTTGCTCTTGAAAGCAACTGCCATAAATCTTGGATGAAGTCAAATAAGACTGATGATTTTGATCTTCAGTTCATTCTTTCCTATCCTTTGAAGGTAAATGATCCTGATGGAACTGGAGATAAGCAGAATAGCTTTCTTTTGTAATCTGCATATCCAATGATCAACACATCTACTTTAGCAAAGTTAGGCAATTTAGGCAATTGGGGTTGGACTCGATGATCTCTGGAGGTCCCTTCCAACCCCTACAATTCTGTGATTCTGCGATTCCTCCCTCTGATTTTGGGGAGAGTTTTTTAGTCTTTGTGCACACATGTGCATATGCACATCTGTCTACTCTTGTGTGCAAGCAGCTGAAAACTAGGGTCTAATAGAAGGGGAAAAGCAAGAAGAAAACCTTTTGGTACATTTACTTCTTTCCTCTGTATCAGTCACACTGGAAGATAACCACTGAAATGAACCAGAGATGAAAAATAAAAAGGCATCAAAACAACAGATTTTAGGCAAAATAAATTCAAGCTTATAGCTTGAATAATACAAGCACTTATTCATAATATTCTTCACTGGTCTCCCACATAGTTTTCAAATTCCAAGAATAAAATAAAAGTTACTTCTTCTCTGTGAAGACAGTCTCAAGCAGCAGGCCCAGGAGAAACTAGTAAGGTTCAGCAAATCCAAGTACAAGTCTCACTTATGGAAATGCCTGCTATCAGTACAAGCTGAAGGATGAAAGGATAGAGCCCTGACAAAAGTCTTGGAGATACTGGAAGATGGTAAGCTGGACATGGCAGCAATGTGCCCTTGCAG